TGAATTTACTATCATCCTCCCAGAATTCCATTTCAAGGAACCTTCTAATTAGATTCTCTATCCTGCATGATAAGAGTTATAACCTGAAAACAGAGACGGACGAGCTTTCTGTTTCAAGAATGCTGCCATTTGCAGATTTCTAAGTGTGTCACAATCATGTATCACGTGATGTTAAGGCAGAAAGAATATGCATTAAAGGCTTGTGAGAAATGAAAACAGTGTGGGGGAAAACAGGCTCCAGGCACATCTAGCTTTTTTTAAAACAGAAAAGTTTCCACTGGGTTCCACTAAAGCAGGCCAGTTCAAATCTCATCTAAGCCATGTGGGGCAGCTCCGCTGCCAGGCACTTACATTATCATTGCAGTTAGAGGTTGTTTTTAAACAAAATTGTCCTAAGCCAACTTGAGGTAAAATTGTCACAAATGTTAAAACCTAAATAACTGGCCTCTAATACTGTAGCTTTCCACCTGGTGGTTCTTGTATGTATCAGCCTCATGCCCCTGTTCTTTTAATTCTGTACCACTCCTGCAGGTCCCATTGCTACTTACTACATTCTGTGGCCTAAGATGCTCCATAAAGTACAATGAAGTAACTAAGGAAACCCTAGAGGTCTGGCAGGGTAAGCCTGTTTCCCCTGAATCTTTAAGACATGTTCTGCTGGCCAACTGCTTGATTACTTCCTTTGTTTTCCCTAATTAAACACAATGCATCCTGAGATGTTTATAACCCCAGAAAAAGGAAAGTGGGTAAAGGCAGCAGTGAAATCTGGCAGAGGCTTGTGGTGCTGAAGAAGATGATGTCCCGGAGGTGCTTGGAAGGGGAGGGGGCAGGCATAACTTGGTGGCCTCTCATTAGAGGATGTCACATTGGTATACATCTTCAGAGTAAAAGGGAAAATACTTAGCAAAAGCTTTGAAAGGAGAAGTGCGGGAGTGTATGCGCGCAAACAAGCAGTTTGCAAGGTTGCTGTTTCTGGCATTGCTTTGTCAATCATATTAAAGTATAGTGCTAGTATTCTAACATTTTCAAATTCATCTTACAAAATTCTCCTCTGAGAGGCAAGTGGCATCACATGTAGGTCCTTAGCATCAGCCCGCATGACATAATGAGGCACAAGTAGATTTCACTAACAGCAGCTGGGAATGAGACAGCACCTCATTACAGAACTGACTATATCCTTTTTAAATAACTTGTCTGTAGTTTGCCTCCCTGGTCATTCTATTACAGATTTAAAAGTCCCTATCATTGAACAAAAAAACTTCAGAAACAGACTTCAAAGAGAAACAGCAGAACTAAAATTCATTCGCAAATTTAACATCATTAATCTGGGCTTGAATAGGGACTGGAAGTGGCTGGCTCATTACAGAAGCAGCTTTTTCTCTCCTGGAATTGACACCTCCTCATCTATTATTGGGAATGGACTACATCCACCCTGATTGAATTGGCCCTGTCAACACTGGTTCTCCACTTGTGAAGTAACTCTCTGCTCTCCATGTGTCAGTATATAATGCCCGCATCTGTAACTTTCACGCTATACATCTGAAGAAGTGAGGTTTTTACCCACGAAAGCTTATGCCCAAATAGATCTGTTAGTCTTTAAGGTGCCACCAGACTCCTTGTTGTTTTTGTAGATACAGACTAACACGGCTACCCCCTGGTACTATCTGAAATATGCTAACTCATTTGTAAGATTTTACTGTAAACATAATTATGCAGTTAGAGATTTCAGAAGCTGTTTCCTGTAAGTGTGGGAGAGCCTATTACACTCTTCCTCTGATTTTGTAATACCCTCCAGAGCAACATCAGTGACACTTGAGATGCAATGTGATGACAGCATCATGGTATAATGGTGCTAAAAACAGTTACACAATGCATAATTTCATGGCTATGGTCTAGGGTTCAATGTTATAAAGATAACTCCAATGTCAACTGACTAGCAATAAGCAGAATTCCATATTTACACCATAATACACCAATACACTTTTCAGGGAGTACGGATTTACACTGAAGATTTAGAGTGGTAGCCATGTTAGTCTGTATCAGCTGAATTGGAATTAATTTGCAAACTGGACACCATTAAATTAGGCTTGAATAAAGACTGGAAGTGGATGGGTCATTACACAAAGTAAAACTATTTCCCCAGGCTAATCTTTTCCCCTGCTGTTACTCACACCTTCTTGTCAACTGTTGGAAATGGGCCATCCTGATTATCACTACAAACGTTTTTTTCTCCAGCTGATAATAGCCCACCTTAATTGACTAGTCTCGTTATAGTTGGTATGGCAACACCCATTTTTTCATGTTCTCTGTGTATATATATCTTCCTACTGTATTTTCCACTGCATGCATCCAATGAAGTGGGTTTTAGCCCACGAAAGCTTATGCCCAAATACATTTGTTAGCCTCTAAGGTGCCACAAGTACTCCTCGTTCTTTTTACTGAAGATTTAGGAATTACTAAAATTCTGGCCAACCAACAGCTAAACTGTTACATAGCATGAGGTTATCATGCTACCATGTGTCCCCTTTAGGGTACATCAGAATTTATGTTAGTGAGGCACAACAATATATACAAGACAGATTCAAGAAGCCAAATGTCATGTAATCATAACATTTATGCCATCACCTGTATATATTTAGCTTCATGGAAGGCCAATCCAGTTCATTGGTAAAAAGAGGACTGGAGGAGTTTAAAAAGTAAATATGCTCCACATTATGGAAATACTTAGAGATGGAGCAGGGACAGACGCTGTGGACACTATTCTAAGTACCTATCCATTTATTTCACATATACTTAATCTTGATGTACATGAAGACCCACTATATATGCAGAAATGGTATGCATTCCTTCATGCTCTCAGAGTCTAGGAAAGAGTTCTGAGTCCAACTGAGGTGCAATCCAACATGAAAATATTTTTCTTTTCAGACCTGAGCTCTGCAACTCAGATAAGAAACTAGGAGCAAAATGAGTCGAAAACCTTGTTGACAAAAGATGCCAGTGCCTTAGAATTATTTATAAAAAGAAATCTCCTATATATATTAGTGCACACAGGACTAGAGCCTTCTCCCACTGAAGGATGAAGGATTCATTTAAGCTAATCATATTCTAAACACACTTTGTGACTTTAATTCTATTTAGCAGGTGAGTAAAAGATTCTGGGTCCTACCCAATACTCACTTGAAGGCAATAGGAATTTTTTGACTGATTTCAGTAAGAACAGAACCCATAATCTGCTATCTGATCATTAAGACCAAAATTGTGAAATCTGTGTGTAATGTGGTTCGTTTACATAACTCTCATGATTCAGAATTTGTCATCCTATTTACTTTCCCCTTCTCCCGTTAGGTTAAAAAAAACCCAAACATTCTCACCCTTTCTCTACCTCTTATGAACTAATTAAGCTACAATAAATCACTTCCAAATTATTTAGCAGTCGCCACATGCCTACAAAATTGTTTCCTGAAAACGATAATGTTAGCATTTGTATTTTCGATAGGCTGGTGACTTCAGAATTATCCATGCTGATGTACTCTACCAGTATCTGTTTTTCCATTTGGAAAGGTTTGCAGATAAGCACTCAGGCTTAAATATATACCATGTTAGTGTAATCTCATCTGAATCTGATTTATATTTCCTGATCCTCACGCAGGCAGGCTAAGGATACACGATGAGCGTTAATACCTAGGGAAAAATGGACTTGACCACTCTCTCTCTGAAAGTAACAGTGAATGATTTGGTTTATTAACTTATTATCTCTCATATTTATTAGATATGATTTTCAGTTTTCTTTAACACAGTTGAGTCCATTGTTTAAATAAGAATAAAACAATTGTTTGGATGAAAGGCGGGGGAAGATTAATTTCCCAGGTCCTCTGCCAACCCTCAAGAAAGAAGCATATTCGATATGCAGAAAAAAATTCACTGTGTCCTAATTCTTCAGGCCAAATGTAGCTTCAAAGGAAAATCTGTAAAAAGTGCACATTTAAAAAAACTATTTCATTACCTTTTGTAAAACCAGATTTTAATATTTACATTGTTTTGCAGTCAACAGCCATAAAAGATAATTTGCAATCTCTATAAAATATTTTCAATATAATTCTGATCTTTTTAATTTAGTTTAGCTTTCAAATATAAATGCCTCGCTCTGCTTCCTTCAATTCCTTTCCCCATAGTCATGGTATCCTATACGAAGAGCTTCAAACCAAAATGCTGAGTTCTGAAAAGAATAATGTAAAGCAAACAGGGACAAAATCCACTGTTAAACAGCTTACTGTATCAACACCAAACCCATCAGATCCATAATGTCACACTCGGTAAGCTGAATAAGCAAAACATTTCCACAATGACTGCAAGCCAGCAAAGTGTTCCATAAAATGACAACAGGGACATAAGATTCAGCCTTAATAGGTTCAGAGCTTATGTAACTCATTCTTTACTTATGGGATATTCTACTAGAAAACAAACAAGGAAGTGACTTTACAGTAAACATAACCTAAACTCCATAGACCAAGCAGGCTACACACATTCAAGGACAGTGCAAAGACACAATATTAGCTGTAAGGTTTGTATGTTCTTGTCCAAAAATTAACTGAACTAAAAATAGCTTCTGGTATGGAGACAGTTAAATTGAATTCACTCTTGTATACAGCACATGGTCCATGAATCACTTACATCGGAGTAAAACACACAAGCCTTTAGTGGAACTTAAGTAAAAGGAATCATTATCATCAATTCAAGTTCCTTTTTTCTACTGAAAACCTTTATGTTCCTCTGAGAATTAATGCCTAATTTTTTTCAAAATCAGTAAAGCAATTCTGCAGTTTTTGTCCTTGAGGTATGAAAAAGAGTTCTTTGGGTGAAAAAGAAAGTAGACTATTTTCCAGAAAGTAACAGATATGAAATACCTGTGCATCACGGGAGATCTGTAACTTCTTGAGAGAAAAGGGAGTACATTTGCATACAAACAATAGAAATAGGAAAAAACAATCATGAAAACTCACCACTAGGTTTCCTATCACCATGACCAGCAAGAAGACGAGAAGGCACAATGGTTGTCCAGCTACTTCCATACAATCCCACATGGTTTCAATCCATTCTCCACAGAGAATTCGGAATATAATAAGGAATGAATGGAAGAAATCGTTCATGTGCCAGCGGGGCAAATTGTTATTAGGGCTTATCTTGCTGACTTTTATTAAGTAGTCTTTTCCAAAAAGCTGCATTCCTACCACAGCGAAAATAAAGACTATGATCGCCAGAACCAGGGTGAGGTTACCCAGGGCACCCACTGAGTTACCAATGATTTTAATGAGAGTATTTAAGGTTGGCCAGGACTTTGCCAATTTGAAGACTCTCAGCTGTGAACAAAACATAAAACAGTCTCAGTTAATAGAACAACAGACATTCCTGGTACTGAATTGTTAAAAAATGGGTAAAAATATTAAATATTTTTAATACTAGGAAACAATGTGCAGTACAGAGTGATTTTAGCAGCAGTTTTGTTAGACTCACGATAGCCATACTTATTACAGTACAATTTGTGCTTCTCATATGACAGGCAATGATTTTTTTCAGAAAATATGCTATGCAGCATTAGGAATAGAGGGTGTGTCCATCTTTCCAGACTACTGTACCCCTTTCAGGAGTCGGATTTGTCTTGTGTACTCCAAGTTTCACCTCACTTAAAAACTATTTGCTTACAACATCAGACATAAAAATACAAAAGTGTCACAGCACACTACTGCTGAAAAACGGCTGACTTTCTCATTCATACCATATAACTATAAAATAAATCAATTGGAATATAAATATTGTTCTTACATTTCAGTGTATAGTATATAGAGCAGGATAAACAAATCGTATAAAATTTTAGTTTGTACTGACTTTGCTAGTGCTTTTTATATTGCCTGTTGTAAAACTAGGCAAATATCTAGATAAGCTGATGTACCCCCTGGAAGACCTCTGCATACCCCTCGGGGTACAGGTACCTCTGGTTGAGAACCACTGTCCTATGTTACCAATTCCTTGCCACTGAATGTTAGGGACAGAGGGTTGTGAAAGCAGGGAGAGAGAACATAGCCTCAGTCCTTAACATTACCTTTTGTGTTCCTGTGTCTCAAAAAAGATAACTTTAAACAAGCTGCCTGGACTTTTAAGGGCCCAATCCCACAAAGGGAGGTGCTCTCCTGCGTGTTCCTGAGTAGGCCTTAGCAAGATGCTGCTACCTTTGAATCCCAGAGATTCGCCTCTGTGCAGAGGACCATATAGGGTTGCCAACCCTCCAGTATTGGCCTGGAGTCTCCAGGAATTAAAGACTAATCTTTAATTAAAGATTATGTCATGTGATGAAATCTCCAGGAATACATCCAACCAAAATTGACAACTCTAGGACCATAAGGCCTATAAATCACTTAAATCCCACTTAAGACCAATTTGAGGACTTAATGGTGCGTAGGTTTTATACTGGCTCTCTGCACAGGGGTTAATTTAATGCCTACTGAAGAGGGTTTGTGGGAGGCATTCAGCCACTGCCAACATCAGGCCATACTTTTGCAATTTTCAGGGAGCAAATATTTATAGATGGTAAAGTTAGGGCAGCTAAGTCTTCTTGAAAAGAAAAATTTGTTTTCATGATCTTGCAAAACTTGTGAAGCAACATAATGGGCAGAATGATTAGCACGGACATCTTGGTACATGAATGCGACACAAGTGTCAAGCTGGCAAGAAAACTACTTTTCTGTTCCAATGCATCAACAGATTCTCCCATTAATGGAGGGTCACCCCTCTGCACATTTAAAGGGATTGACAGTGAAGGATTTTCACTGCAAGACAGGTTCTGTGTTTTGGTGATAGGTTCTGGGGGAAAAAATCAGTTTGCGATTAATGCAGAGCTATCCACTTTTGACTACATTTAAAAATACAGTGGCATGTTTATTATGTATTTAAGGAATAAAAACCTGTAAAGTGACATGTTACTAGTTCTTGAGCAGGGGTCGGCAACCTCTGGCACGCGGCTCACCAGGATAAGCACCCTGGCGGGCCAGGCCAGTTTGTTTACCTGCCGCGTCCACAGGTTCAGCCAATCGCAGCTCCCACTGGCCGTGATTCGCTACTCCAGGCCAATGGGGGCGGCGGGAAGCCGCGGCCAGCACATCCCTAGGCCTGCACCTCTTCCCGCAGTCCCCATTGGCCTGGAGCGGCGAACCGTGGCCAGTGGGAGCCGTGATCGGCCGAACCTGCGGACGCGGCAGGTAAACAAACTGGCCCAGCCCACCAGGGTGCTTACTCTGGCGAGCTGCGTGCCAGAAGTTGCCGACCCATTCTTGAGCTTCACAGTTCATTAATTATCTACCGGCTTTTCTATTAAGTTCTATGCAAACTCAGTTTAAATGTGTTGCAAGTAACTGACACAGCTAAACAGTCAAATTCTGTTCTCATTTACTCTGTTGTAAATCTGGAGTAATTCCATTTGGCCCATAGTCTATAATTAGTGTCACTGCAGGCATTCACTAATTTGTAAAATTTTATTTCCTTTTCAATGAATGTAATTTTAAGAGAATCTAATAAATTCTTGAAAGGGGTTATGTTTTGCAAAAGAGAATAAGGAAACATTACCAATCTGAATGAGCGTAAAACAGACAGATTTCCCATGCTGGATAAACCCAGTTCCATTAGGCTTAGGATAACAATTATACTGTCAAAAATATTCCAGCCCTGCTGAAAATAGTAGTAGGGATCTAAGGCAATTATTTTGAAGATCATTTCTGCTGTAAAAATCCCAGTGAAGACCTGTGGAAAGGAAAGAGGAAGTGAGATCAGTCTGTAAACACATCTCCTGTCATGAATGATTTCCTACCGATATGTTGAATTAAAATACAGAGACAACAACATTTTACCAGCAAACCTTTCTTCTTTCATCTCTAATGTACCGTCAGTACTTATTGTCAGTATTATCAGTATTCTGGGCTTGTCTGATCCTTTTACAATATTAGTATTGCTGTCATCAAACAACAACAACAGGGAATGAGCTATACCTTTGAATTAAGACACTAATTTTCATCTCCCTCAGACAAACAGATATCAGTAATAAGGTGGGAGAATAAAGGTGCTTTTTAAAAAGCTTAAGTCCGTCAATTTCAGTGGGGAGGTGAGAGTGATTTCATGACACAGTTAAAGAGGTACTTTTGGTTTCCAGCATACCTGTAGAGTTAGCCCTTTTGTTTCTGTTATTGCACCCATCCCATGCAGTGTAATCCTCGCACTTTCAGATTACTGCTGGCAGTGATGGTGATTAGGAACTCTAATTTGAGTCTTATTATTCTTTTAAAAATAGACACGGCAATTTGCTTTTGAAAGTGCCTTGAGAACACTTTGTTTATTTATAACCTAGTTCAAATATTACACAGTGAAATTTTTTTAATCTGAACATTTTTATGTAAAACATACTCATACGTATGGAGGGGAGCCTGTTTGTTGATGGCAAACCAGATTTTAAAGGAGGTATCTTATTTGAACTCATACTCACAAACTGTGTGAAAATGCTAAATCTAGTGCTTTTAAAAATCCCTTCAAAAAAACTGATTTAAATACATAAGTACAAGGTTGTAAATAATTGAAGGTAGTATGTAGACACACAGTTTTTCACATACTGTTTTATTTTGAGTCTAACCCTCTGGTGAAAGGTGCACACAGCTGTGTGTCTTGAAAAATCATCTACTGTATTTGCATATTACAGCAGCTGATTTCCCATGATACAACAGCCTATGTCAATGCACACTGCAGATCAGAAGATATGTATATGTTATGGACTTAGGTCTACCAGTAATGTTCACACAAGAGGAAATTCTGTCTAACCTATAAACTAGGTTTCTGCAATAGTGCTCCAGCAAGACAGATTAATGGGCTCTAAGTAAGAATTAGGAAAATCAAATGAGATAAGGGAGGATCATATAGAATTATAAAATGGCAATGCTAAGGAACAAATGGCCAAACCTGCATTTGAGGAAGCTGCAACATTTACTCTATAAATAATGCTTGGGGAATGAATGAACAGGTAGACAGACTTTCATATAGCAATTTTATATGTTTCCATATCTAAAATGCCTTTCTCTTTCTGATCAGGAAGATAAAATTTCTCTGGTCAAAACATTTTGGATGGACCATCCTTCTTAAAAGACCAACATGCTAAATTACTTCAGCCCAACTGGTCTCCAGCAGTGGTACTGCACCAGGCAGACTCACCTCTGATTTCCAACAAGTTAACAATTTCTGAGTCACTGTGGTTAGAGATACTTAGTATTCCAGTGACTGAAAATTCCATGGGGATATTAAACACCATAGTCAATGTTTGTGAAGTTGTACCCAGATCCTGACTCAAAAACTGATATCATGCTGAGCACATCATGCAATTGTCTTGCTGAGGGATGACTCAGGAGGAACAATTTCTTTTTAATCAATAATCTTTTGAGATGGAAACTCTAGGGCTAATAAGACATCAGAGCTTCTGAGGGAATCAGAATCTGTAAAGGCAGAAGTGACTCTTCTGTGTATTAGTTATGAATTCCAAACACAAATGTATCACAAAATCACTGGAACCTTGTTCAGTGCTAGCTGTGATTGTACAAAAAACTGCTTTCACTAACTAATCATCCAGATAGGGGATTACTTGGACATTGTCTTCTGGAGTGGAGCCATAAACTGGTATTGGTTATGGTATACGATTATGGTATACGTATTAATGATGTTGCTAATCAATCTAATTTAGATCAATAACCTCTTGATTTCTTTGGAAGGTTGAAAAATATAGAAAATATTGCTGGCTGGTGTTGAAGAACTGGCATCACTGCAGGTAGCCTGGTCAGATGAAGCATGCAGAGATGTGAGTATAATTCTGCTATTTTTCTTGATATCAGGTAAAAACATTATCTTCTTTAGATGATGAACCTGGGGAGTCAGAGAACCAGAGCTTTGTTGCATAATTTTATGATGCAAATAATATCATCAGAACTGAAGCTCTTCAATGACTGATTCTCACAAGTGCCAGATGAAGAGTTGCACTCTCCCTTCTTATTCTCAGAGGATAAGGACACTTGTTTCCTTTTCTTTCTATTGTTTCTTTCATGATTTCTTTAGAGAAAAAAAGCAAATGGTCTTTTATATCCTATTATTTCCCCCCATTTAATACTAGCCTATCTGCTGAGGAGGGATAGCTATAGAGAAAACTCTATCAGAAAACAGTGGAGAACTACTAGCATTTTTGAGTTTGGCTAGGAAGAAGAGAATACTGATTTTGCTCCTTTAGGAACTTGCAGTGAGGAGACTTGAGACAGATGGAGATTCTTCATAAAGTCATGCTAATAACTAAAGCCAGTTGGAAAAATTCTGTTGAAACATTGTTTTATCAGAATTTGCTGATTTGCCAAAATCGAAACATTGTGAAGAGACTGTTTGATCTCAGCGATGTTCCAACAGAACTCAGGCAGGGCTCCTACAGACCTTCCATCAAAAACCTGCCAGGTTTCCTGCCAGCTCACCCGCCTGGCTCCTCAGCATCCCAGCTGTTGGACTGCCAGTCCAGGGCTTTAGGGCATCAGGGCTCTAGGGCTTCCAGGGTCCATGGCTCTGGGGCAGCCCACTATGCAGATTGCCTCTGCTTCCAGGGTCCATGGCTCCAGGGCAGCTCACCAAGTGAACTGCCTCAAACCTGGGAACCCCAGAGCTTCCAATATTCACAGCTCCAGCCAGCCAGCCAGCCTGGAGCTGAAACTCCATTCCCTTTTGTGGAGAATTTTGAAATGTTGGGTTTTCATCCCAAATCGAAACAGAACCAAATGTTGAGATATTGAAAACCTCGGTGAGACAGAATTATCTTTCTGTGCCTAGCTTTACTAATAACCCATTTAAGTTTGGGTTTAATAAAACTGAGGAGGAAGGGCCAAGGATGGTCTTGAGCCACTGATATTTCATCTGAAGAACTGTCCTTTCACTGAAGCCCACTGCAAACAGCATTGCAAGAAGAATGCCTGCTTGGTTTTATTTTTTCATCATTACCACAAACAGGAGAATTGGCTCCAGCACAGCAGTACTGAGAGACTTGGAGCAAGATAAGGTCAACTGCTTTTCAACTTCTTTTGTTTCTTGTCTCTGTTTTCTCCTCTACTAAGAGTGGCTGCACATAGGTCATCCAAACTCTGCCAGGCAGAATTGTGGGGGAGTCACACAGGCGCTGCTGGAATCTAAAGTTACCTGTAGACTGGGCAAGGGGAAAAGATGATAGGCCAAGTGCAGAGCAGGGAACATGAGCATCTTTGCTCTGGGGTGTCAGAGTGGGCAGCTGCAGAATTGCCACCTGATCACATGCTGAGAAGCCCCAGGAACTGGGAGACCTCCATTTTGTCCATGTGGGGAATAAGATGAGGCATCAAAATTCCTGAATATGGGTCTGCTGTTAAGGGGAGCCAATGCAGCCCAATTAGAGGGCTATTTAGCTCCTTTTATAGCTGGTGCTATCCATGAAGAGCAATAACATAGGTCTTGGAGCAATACAGAAGCCCCTCACTGACCATAGCTACAAAGGGAAATCTCTCAAGACTGAACAGCTTAAGACCTGCTGATTGGTCCATCTGCCTAGGAGAGTAGTTGACACTGCTGGAGGAAGTCAATTGGTGCAGTTTTCAGAATGGAGAGAAGTAGTGAGGGAAAATTCTGTATCGGGTGGTCAGCAGATTCCAAGAGAAAAGGACTACTCTGAGAAGCCTAACAATTGCTTCTGCCTATTTGTACCTGTCGGCTCCAGGAGTCCATGTTGGTGCAATAGTGTGAATGGACACAGATATACTTTCTCAAGTATTTCAATAATTGATTAGTACCATTTTTTTTACAAAAATGAAAATAACCTTAAACCCAGTATGTGCTTCTTTCTGGATGATAATCTGTAGGAGAATATACTGCCTGTATTTTCTCTAGAATATGGCTAATAGTTTCAAAGGTTTAGTGATTCTGAGTGCCTCAATTTCTGAGTGCCAAACTTGAGAGCCCTTAAAAGAGCTTGATTTCCAGAAGGTGGGTGTTCAGCATGATCTTAAATCAGAGCGCTGTAGATGTCTCAAGCTGGGAAGCCCAAAACTGAGAAAACCTGTTGTGTTTAGTGTGTAGGTGTCAGGGGTCTTGGTGCCCTATGACATACAGGAGATTGGACTAGATGATTTGGTGGTCCTGTCTGGCCTTAAACTTTATCACTCTGTTAGACCCTTGAAAATCTTGGCTGTAGTATAACTATAAAAGTGATAACTCAAGGCTACTTCCCCACTGGGGCACTAGCTTATTTTTTCCATAGGATTCTTTAACTTAAAAAAATCACTAACGTTCCTATACATCCTTATTATTGATTTTTAAAAACTTTTTAAGATCCTTCTTCCTTCACTTCCTAGAATAGTTACCCACTGGAAATCTGTTGGTCTCAGCAGTGAAATGACGCTTTACTGTCCACTAATGAGCAGCAGAGTATGCTTGCTTAGTGACAGTAGATACATATCCTTTCTTCACTTCTCTTCAAATGCCAGGAGGGCCACCAAATAAAGCAAGCTACCCTTGCTTGGCATGACATGTACAAGGTTGTGCTGACAGCACACCAAATGGGTTCTTCCTAAGACCTCTAGCACCAGTAGTTTTCAGCCTTCAGAACTTGAAAGAGCAGAAATAAACTCTCCAGATATAATTTTGGGTTCAAATTCACTTACCAGATTGCCTATGTAAAGCATGTTATCAAACTCCTTTGTCATCTTGTAATGCTCCAATGCCATGAAGAGAGTATTCATCACAATGCAAAGGGTGATCGTGAGGTCAGTAAATGGATCCATTACCACAAACTTCACATGTTTCTTGATAAACAACCACAATGGAGAGCAATCCCAAATGAGAAATTTAACGGCAAAATGATTCCAGCATGGAGGACATCGCTGTTGTGATTCCTCAAGCTCTAAGTGAGAAGCAGAATGTGACGTAATAGTCAAATAACACTGAATTATGTGACAAGAGAATACTTTAAACGAATCAAAGCACAGAAGAAACCCCACCAGCATCCATCTAAATGACCAAGAATGACCAAGAGGAGTGAAGTTCTGGAACAGCCTTCCAAGGGGAGCCGTGGGGGCAAAAGACATGTCTGGCTTCAAGACTAAGCTTGATAAGTTTATGGAGGGGGTGGTATGATGGGATAGCCAAATTTTGGCAATTAATTGATCTTTGAATATTAGCGGTAAATATGCCCAATGGCCTGTGATGGGATGTTAGATAGGGTGGGATCTGAGTTACTACAGAGAATTCTTTTCTGAGTGTCTGGCTGTTGAGTCTTGCCCACATGCTCAGGGTTTAGCTGATTGCCATATTTGGGGTTGAAAAGGAATTTTCCTCCGGGGCAGATTGGCAGAGGCCCTGGGGTTTTTTCGCCTTCCTCTGCAGCATGGGGCACAGATCACTTGCTGGAGGATTCTCTGCACCTTTAAGTCTTTAAATCACGATTGGAGGACTTCAATAGCTCAGACATAGGTTAGGGGTTTGATACAGGAATGGGTGGCTGAGATTCTGTGGCCTGCGCTGTGCAGGAGGTCAGATTAGATTATCATAATGGTCCCTTCTGACCTTAAAGTCGATGATTCTATAATTAATCTGCTTTTTAATAGACAAATAGTCCTACCCCAACAACCTGGTAAAATATAAACTCTTTGAGGACATGGATTGTCTTTATTTTTTGCATATTGCACAGGACTGAGCACAGTGTTGACGTAATCCTCAAAGCCTATAACGCACTTCCCTGCAACCTGCCGCTTCCCGCAGCTCCCATTGGCCGGGAATGGCGAACTGCAGCCACTGGGAGCTGCGGCGGGGGGTGGGGGGGGCAGGGGGGGGGGCTGTGCCTGCGGACGGTCAACGTAAATAATACGTCTCGCGTCCAGCCAGCAGATTACCCTGATGGGCCACATGCCAAAGGCTGCTGACCCCACTATAACGTCTCAAGAGTAACAGTAGGAAACACTAAAATTACAAAAGTAACACAAATCTAATTTAATATGAAAGGTCAGATTTACTTCCCATTTCGCGGTGATAGCCTAGACTGTGGGGGAAAGAGAACAGCCTAGACTGTGGGGGAAAGAGAACACTGTAGCTGGCTAATTTAAATTTATCTCACAGAACTGAAATATAAGGTAACATTTTTAAAATTGCCCAAATCATATTATCAGAAGTGACTTAGGCACTTAGGAGCTTGAGAGCTTGTCTATACTTACAGCAGTGCAGCTGTCCTGCTGTAGTGCTTAGTGAAGATGCTACATAGGCTGATGGGAGAGCTTCTCCTGTTGGTGTAAGTCCTCCACAATAGACAGCAAACCCTAGCACTGTCTACACTGTAGGTTAGGTCAATATAATTACGACCTGGTCTACATTATACAGTTAGGTTGGCATAAACTGCCTTACATTGACCTAGCTGTGAAAGTGTCACTACATAAATTTGGCTACTGCTGATATAAGTGCCTTTCTACGTCAATTTAGTAACACCACTGAGTGGCGTAGAGTCATGGTGGATGTAATTAGGTTGATACAATGTCAGTGTAGACACTGTGTTGCTTACATTGACTATTACTGACTTTCAGGAGCAATCCCATAATGCCCCACACTGACAATATAATCGATACAAGCGCTCCTGGTGAGTATGAGCATCACCAACACAAGGACCCAGGTTTAGCGATTTAGTAACTGCACTGGCTGTATGCCGACATATGTTAGGTCAACATAATTTTGCAGTGTAGCAATGGCCAATTTTGCAGTGTAGCAATGGATTTTCCACACCCCTGAGCAACATAGTTATACCGACATAAGTTGGTAGTGTACACCTGGGCTAAGTCTCATTAAAAGTCAATAGAACATAGGTGCCTAAGTCATTTTTGAAAATAGTGCTTAGGCTCCTAAGTCACTCAGCTGCTTTTGAAAACATTACCTGTTTTCTCTGATTTTCATCATATTTCATCCATTTTAATTGAACAGGAAATAATTAAAATGGCCTCACAAGGATAATTTGCATAGATAATTGCATTTAATTTGCATAATTTCATTTATTTTCAGTGAAACAAATAAAAGAAGCCAGTTATCTGCTAAATGATTATTATTAACAGAATTATTTAATGTTCCTCTTTTCTGGTTCCTTTATGGACATGGAATGCTGGTTAAAGGTTTTGGTCTATATAATTAGAACTATAACTGATAACACAACAACTTCAGTCAACCAATTACAATTTGTTTATAAACAGCCAGTGGCCTCTATGCTCTTCCCTTCACTGAGCAACAAAACTACAGTATCACATATTAGGATTCTACTAGCAAACTTTTAAAAATATAGGATGAAATCACTGAAGTTACTGGGTCTTTAATGGGGCCAGGATTTTACCCATGAGTTTGAGTTTTCTGTCTGAATCCCACAGGCCAGATTGTATACTTTGTACATAGGCCCTTTCTGTGTCTGGAACGAAGAGCGCTGTCCCAAAGGTGAGGAGGCTGTGGCATATTACCCTACATTCCCTTTCAGTCACATACCATTTTCAGTTATGTAAAACAATGCCTGTGCTGATGGAATAAAGGTTTCATATGCACAAGCTCCTACAGAGTCTTGTATCAGTCGATGGCCATTTTTACTGTGCAAGGAATTGGGTGGAACTGCAATGGAGACCTTTCTCATGCTGGCCCTGATTCAGCAAGGGACTTGAGCACGGGTTAGGGTATATGCTTAAATCACTTGCTGAAGCAGTCCCACTAATCAAGTAGTTAAAGTTAAAGATGCACTTAAGTCCCTTGCTGAATCAAGAACTGATTGTAAAAGCACCCCATTCAAGTTCCACCTCCTTTGCACAATAAAAACGACACACTTGAAGTTAGCCTTTTAGAACTACTCATGTGCTAAAGTTAGACACAATTGATCTCAATGTGCAAATGTGGACTATATTTTAAAATGCTCAGGACCCAGTCTAACATCCAATGAAGCCAAAGGAAAAATTCCCATTGATTTCAAAAGGAACTGAATTGAGCAATTAGTACACAAACTGCATTAGTTATGTACGCATGTGCACTGAAGTCTACAGGCTTTTGTAACTAGAGCTGAGTGAAATTTTTATGCAAATCATTTATTCGCTGAAAAAGGCAGATTTGGGTCCACCAAAATGATTTGTGAATTCAGGTCCATTTTGGCAAATTATTTCAATCAGAAAAAAAACCAACCCAGAAATGTTGAATTGGTTTGTTTTGGCATTTTGTGAAATGAAACATTTAAACTTTTTGTTTCAGAAAGATGTTTCATTTCAAAATTTACTTCAATTTTATTGAAAAAAAAAATTAAAATGTTTTAAAAACCTCAATATTGAAACAAAACATTTTATTTGACTTTAATTTTTTTTTAAACTTTTCAATTTTGCTGAACAATTAAAAAAATTTCCATTTTGTGTCTACCTGAAACAATTTTTTCAAATTTGGCCTCCACGTCAAAAATATCAGTTATCCATTTGGGTCTATTTGTAAAATTGGCAGACTGTTGTTAATGGGGCTATCATAAAACTTACTACTCAGTCAAATCAAACCAATTTTGCCTGGAATACGCAAAGACACTTCTCCCCAAAGAGGACTATGTCCCTGGCAAATTTTAACTTTCTACTTCAGTCTCTTCAGCACCAGAACACTTAAAAATAGACACAAGGATCATCTTTAAACAGGGATGGGATTTTTAAAAAACTTTCCTGGTATTCAAACATCCCAACCAATTTTACTAAAAGTTCAGATACAGAAATTTTCCAGGCCTGTTGCTAGCACTCCTGTTCTAATAAAACAAAAATACAGATAGTACTTACTATCTACTATATCCCAAGAAGAGTGATCATCATTTGTCAAAACAATTTAAGAGCAATAGTGGATGCCTATAGATGCCTATAGCTAGGTATCAAACATTAGAGCATACCAGCTAATTAATTTAATGTAACTTTTTCTAACTGATCTAGCTTCTTACAGATTTATTGATTTTGGCACCATAGCTTAATATGATAAACACCATGTCAGCTGTATGACTATTTCTTACCTACATTAATTTCTGAAACCCATGGCAGATATGACAACCTTTGTTAAGAGTGAACTGCAAAGGGAAAAATAAAATTGGACCCATGCCCTTTTTTTTTTTTTTTTGCTTCCTTCTGGTGTATAAAGAACACACAGAACATTGGTTTTGTTTGTGGTTTTGTTCCGGTTTATTTTTTTTAATTAGAAATTCAGGTCCTTTCTAGCTTGTAGGACTCAGTGGAGAACTAGTGAGGTGATGAGATCATAAGAGTAAACGGAATGAAACATGTGCAACTGAGAGAGAGGAAGATGGTTTTTTTTTTTTGCCAAACTATTTAACTCATTGGACCAGATCTTCAGCTAGTGGATTTTTGATGTTGAGTCAATGGCCCTTTGCTGCACAGAGTGATCGTGTTAGCAGCTGATGAGTTGTGCTGACTCCAGCTATGGCTGGTCCCTCCGGGAGTATAGGCTAACTGGGGTTAAAGCACCACGACACTCAGTTTAATATTTTTTCTATGTGGATGGTACTTGAGTTAGGGGCAACACTCAAATTATTACTCGAGTTATCTGGGCTCATTGTCTGCTCCTCTCTCCTGCCTGTGGCCTGTACCTTTCACCTGGGAAAAACCTTAGCCCACAGTAACTGGCCTTTAGCCGCAGGAAGTTTGTATTCCCCTGGATAGGCTCTGGGGGGTGTTTAAAAGGCCACTTCTACAGGACACCTGCTGCTGGTGGTGCCAGGGCATATGAATAGGTGCTGGCTGCCATGGAAAGAGGAGCAAGTGCAGATAAGCCCACTGACCTCCCTTCTCCATGACAAGTACTGCAGTGATATACTTAGTTCAGGCTCCCACGCCTACCGAATTATCTGTCATGGTCTCTACTCCAGCCTGGCCACCTCAGCCTACAAACATTTAGATTTTGTTTAGCAACAAAACTTCGGGAACTCTAAATATCTGTTAAATTACACATGGTGAGTCCCTCTGTGCTATATTAGCTAGGGCTCATTGGCCTACACATCAAAGTTGCCTGCAAAAAAGATTTGTAACACAGCTGTATAGCACAAACTCTTTCTGAATGCAGACCTCTTTGATACGTATTCCAAGACTTGTCGGTGCATCAGTTTGTGGGGGGATGTGTTTTGAAAAAGCATTTCTGTTAATAACAATGTATCAGTTACTATGAAACTGTAGCCATGATGCACTGAAATGTTGTTGAACTGAAGAAGTGGTGGGGAGGGGGGACGGCTATTCATTGTCATTGTTTATGATTTGTAGACCAGAAATTTAATTCCTTTCCACTGTCTTTCTATGTTTCCAGGAAAGAGTTTTCATTTCTACACTATGAAATGATGAAGGAGCTGTTCTGAAAAAAATTATGATGAGATTCTATTCAAATAGATTTTATTCAGATAGAATCATGAATCTGAAGCCCAGAAAAAAGCTTTTCCACAATAAATATTACACAAATGGCTGTTGTAGAAAGTTTGTTTACTTGACAATCACTTATCTTTATCAGCACTCTCACCAAGTCACCTAATAAATATTCTGATTTGGGGGAAGGGTAGTTTGAAAACCAAACTCAGAACTGGATCTGAATTTCCAAAAATGTCCCTGTGTTTATAAACAAAATACTGGATCCAAGCTCTCCCTAACTTTGGGGTATATGCAATACACAACAGAACCCAAACTGTGACTAGGTACCAATCCTGCAGCTGGATCCTTGTAGGTGTACCCACAAGTGACTTCAATAAGGCTCCATAGGGAGTCTATTACCATTTCAGGGCCACGATCATCGATGGCATCCTCACTGAGTACCAAGTGAGACGTACAAAGCTTGCGGTATTCATGAAACATAATTATAATCTATTTTAAAGTGGATTAGTCTGAAAACTGATGCCTTCTCCTGTGGGATGCGTGCCAACGGCCCAGATTAAGCAGATTATGGCGGTGACTGAGGTAAAATATACCAAGTTTATATAGCACAATAGTATCAAAAATGGCAACTAAAATCAGGCTTGAAAACATGTGTATAAGTTTTTGTGTGAGCAAAATCCAAATTTGAAAGTGCAAACTCATATTTGTGCATATAGACTGGGTAATGCCGCCTCTAATTACCCGTTTTGGGCATGCAAATACTAGTTTTTATACACAAATGCTGCTTTTGTGCATGACTGCTGATGTGTGCTTAGTTTTAGAGGCCACATTTATTTATTTAATATGATGTATAAATGTTTGTCCATTCTATGATCTGGATGTATATACAAACAGGACAGAAATATAATCCATATTTATAAATTGAAAACGGAACCCAATGTCCCAAGAACAAAGACCCAATTAAACCGCACAATTGAAAAATCCTTAACAAGAGCAAGAAATTTGTGCCTAGACTCTATCCAGACACAGGTAGCTTGGAAGCAAGTGCTACCCAGCAATTGGGTCTATTTGCAGGAGATTGGCGACTGTAAGGTGGATTACATGTACTGTTCCATACAGTAGTGTCTGTTACCATTTGTTCATAAGAAATATTTGGAAATCTCTCAGTTATGACCATCATTTTCGAGCATAACAGTTGTTGCCAGATGTAAAATTTTGAAGGAGGGACGAAATAAAAAATCCCCCATCCCGCAAGTGATTAATGACTAAGGATGCAATCAGAAACAAGTTGATTGTATATGCGATCTGATACATTAATATTGTTCTGGAACCTTTTAAAGATCCTTAAATAAAAACAAATAATAAGGACACCTTAAATAAACAACAGCAATTTTCACTTTATTTATATACTACATGCGTCTCCCATTTAGAGTTGGAGAAAATAGTACTTTTGTCATGTAAACATTTGTGGACAAATACTAGTACACTTCTACCTCGATATAACGCTGTCCTCGGGAGCCAAAAAATCTTACCGTGTTATAGGTGAAACCACGTTATATCGAACTTGCTTTGATCCACCAGAGTGCGCAGCCCCGCCCGCCCCCGGAGCACTGCTTTACCACGTTATATCCGAATTCGTGTTATATCGGGGTACAGGTGTATTTTGAAAATAATCATAAATTTGATCCAAATCTTGGGGTGGGGATTTTGCTATCTCTGCCACTGAACTAACATTTTAGTGGTTGGGATGATCCTAAGTCATGAACTTGACGCAGATGGAAATTTACCATTTTCACCTACTGTGCCCTTTTCAGAAAACCATTTTTGCTTTTAGGAAAAATTCTAGACAAGATGGAAAACCGTTTTGTTTTTTGGAAACGCATTTCATGCAAGCTGCACCTGCAATGCAGTTCACTTGACTGGCAATGAGAATATTTTTGAATATCTCATCTTGATTGTTATTTACAAAAAAAGTGTATATCATTTACTCTTTTACCTGTATATACTTAAATTTGATGCAATTTGGAGTGCTGGATGTAGGAACCTGATTTACACTCCTGTATGGGCTGCTCATATCATTGGAGCTTGCATGGAGGAGGGGAGAGCAGCTGCCAGTAGGCTACCCTTCCACCTCCCATGCAGGTAAGAGGGGAATGGGCAGAATCTTGACTCCACCTCGTCCATGCACTGGTCCATGCTGCAGAACTGGGGCAGAGTAGGCAGTAATTTCGGTCAGTAGGGCTCCTGCAGTTTACTTCCCCCTGAAGCAAGGAGGAAGCAGGAACTAACCTGTGACTCTCACAGTCTGAGTTCCAGCCGTGCTTTCAGGGCAGCACACCTTCTTAGGCTCCTCAGTGCTGCTCCCTCCATTATATTTGTGGCATAATGATCACACTAACCCCTAGCATGGCAACTTTTTTTGTAGTAACAGATATTGAAATTTATGACAGTATGATCTTTGCTACCAACATATACTTGGGTTCGAATTAAGGAATCAGTAAGGAATGTCTTACCTTCCATGGCACTGGTAATGATACTGACTGCACTCACTGCTCGTTGTCTTTGAAATGGCTGGTCATAATGGTCCACTGAAAGGCGGTGGGGCATCAAAAGCTGCTTTTTGCTTGCCTCATCAGATGGAGAGGTCTGTTTAAATGGACATACTTGGTCAGCAAGGCACAAGAGAGGATGAAGTCAGGACAGACATGGAGTAGAATTTTCAAACTCAAGGAGCCTACATTTCATGAGACTTTTATTTTGAAAATGGGACTTAGGCATTGCAACATTGAGCAGAGCAACCTTAAAAATCTGGGACTAAGTCTCTTTTGAAAATATCACTTAGGCATCAAAGTCAGACAAGTTCTTTTGAAAATTTTGCCCCTTGATCTAGATGCACTGATCCAGACTGATCATGTAAAAATATGCAAGCGAGGAGGAAGGGTATTTCTAACATCAGAGAAACATCAACTCAGTAGGCTCTTAGCTTGTGAAAGAAACTCTATTTAATTACAATAATTATAACATTATTTCTGAACTGTGTTAACTGTTTAATTATATGGGTACCACAGGAAAAGGGGTATGAACAAAAGCTCCAGTTATTGGCCTTTGATATCAAACAAAGCAAATGCTAGGGATGAAAAGTGCCTCTTCATCACATGGCTTTTCTTGGTCTGCAGTGTTGCCAACTCTTAGGAATTTATCACCAGTCTCGCGATATTTGGTGTTCCAGCTGCTGGAGTTCTGCGATTTTGTGAGAATCTCAGCTTCCATTTAAAGAAAACTATAAGTTTCTAGCCTTCGTGGCTGCAGAGAAACATTTGAAAAAACAAAATCTAAAGGCTCAAAACCCAGAAGGCAAGTAAAAAAATCGCAAATTTATAATTTTTTTTTAAATCATGATTTTTTAAGCCAATCTCATGATTTTGAAGGTTTGGGGTTGGCAATACTAAGCCAGGCAACAGGATAGGATATTCTCATGCACATATGGTATCTAAGATGAGACCTAATACTGTCACACTTACAAGAATGCAAACAGTAAGAATTCTTTTAGTACGAGCTACAACTTCATACAGAGACGAAGCCTGTTTGCTTTACTTATGCCAATGTTCCCACAGGAGTAAAGGACAGTGGATCCAGTGCTCAGAGTTGGGAGATCGAGGTTAAATTCCCTGCTCCACCACAGACCTCCTTGTGTGACTTGAATAAGTCACTTAGCCTCCATGTGGCTAAGTTCCCCATCAGTAAAGGGGAGAGGATAATACTTCCCTCCCTCACAAGGGTATGATAGGGATAAACAGATTAAAAACTGTGAGCTGCTCAGATGCTAGATGAGAACCCTGCAACCTGACCTGAATCCAACGGCACCTGACTACAAGTGTTGGGTCTGGGTCATGTGGGAAAACAACCAGATCCTCTCAGGCTGGGGTCGGGTCTCCTGCCTGTGGGGTCGGTGCGGTAGCAGCTCTATGCCCTGCTCTTGCTGGCCACCTCGCTGCGCTGTGCGTGCTGCAGAGTGTGCAGAGGAGCTGCAGCATCTTTCACTCCACAGGACACACAGCACAGCAAGGGGTGGTGGACAGCAAGACCATGGCACACAGTCACTGCCACGCTGACCCCACAGGCAAGAGGAGAGCCGAACACATGGGTAAGAGGCATCGTGGTCATTGACTCAGTTTGGGGGGGAAGGATTGGGTCGGAAAAACACTCAGCTCTCCCAGACTTGGGTCAGGTCGGTTGTGCCATTCTCGTTTGGGCCCCCAAATTAGGCCCGATTGGTCCAGGGGATGTTTTACAGTAAAACTCATGGGAGGGTGAGGGAGAGAAAATCTCCACTAGGTTTCCCTTACAAAGCTTTATGTGGGAGAAAAGCTGGTTGCTTTTGACCCTCCCAGCAGAGGAATGAGCTACTAGGTCCATGGAACCTCCTGGATCTGCAGTGACCATAAGGAATGAGTGGAAGGCCTGGATCATCAAGCTGGAAGCCTTGTAGTTCTGCACCATCTCTGTGTCCAGGGAATTTCTGGCCACACTCACTGTCAGTGCTTCATTGGAGCCAGGCACTATCAGGCACCCCCACTGGCCCTAGGTACCCCAGGACCGTCCTTAGAGGTAACTTCTCCACCAAAGACGGGGCTGTGCAAGAAAGGTAATTCAGTGACAGTGGTAACATTTTAGAAAAAAAAAAAAAAAACCCTAGCAAACTGGTCTTCTGGTCTGGCCTGTGAGCTCTTCAGAGCATAAGAACAGACATCCTGGGTCAGACCAATGGTCCATCTAGCCCAGTATCCTGCCTTTCGACAGTAGCCGGTGCTAGATGCTTCAGAGGGAATGAACAGAACAGGGCAATTTTGAAGGATCAATCCCTTATCGTCCAGTCCCAACTTTTCGCATTTGGAGGTTCAGGGACATGGGGTTGCATCCCTGACCATCTTGGCTAATAGCCATTGGTGGACCTATCCTCCATGAACTTACGTAATAGCCATTGATGGATGTGTCCTCCATGAACTTATCTAAATCTTTTCTGGACCCCGTTATAATTTTGGCCTTTACAACACCCCTGGCAACAAGTTCCACAGGTTGACTGTGCATTGACTGAAGAAGTACTTCTTTTTGTCTATTTGAAACCTTCTGCCTATTCATTTCATCAGGTGATCCCTAGTTCTTGTGTTATGTGAAGGGGTAAATAACACTTTCTTAACAAATTTCTCCACACCAATCAAGATTGTATAGACCTCTATCATACCCCCTCCTTAGTTGTCTCTCTTCTAAGATGAGCCATCCCAGCCTTTTTAATCTCTCCTCTTATGGAAGCTGTTCCATACCCCTAATCATTTTCGTTGCCCTCCTCAGAATCTTTTCTATTCTTTTTTTTTAGATGAAGTGACCAAAACTGCGTGCATGTTGTGTACTCCTCAGAGTAGAGATTGCCCTTTTGTTACATGTTTGTACAAAGCCCAGCACAGTGGGGGTGGGAACATTAGGTGCTACTACACAAAATAATAATCATAATACTGACAATATATAACATCAAAGTTCTGTGGCTAGAAATATCAACAATTGGCAGACCAGAGAAGTCTACTATAAGGAATTTTAAAGCACCACTTCAACCATTGGCTAAACCAGGCTATCAGCAATTGCTTTTAAAAAAATGTGTTATTGATTTCTTTTATAAAAAAAAAGTTGATCAGCGTACATCAAGTTACTGACAGAATCATAATCAAAGTCAAAATCATAATAAAGGAAAAGTTATTGTAATCAAAACCTATTTAAACAAAATCCGGTAAATGTGAACAATATAAGAAGTCATCAGGCTATCTGGGGTTTATGGAGCAGGGGAACAGAGAGAGAGAGAGAGATTTTAGATAAATTAGCTTGCTTTACTTTTTCCCCCTTCAAAAACCCCTCAACAAATCAAAGAAATAAAAACATTTTATTAAAAAAGAAAACATTTACAAAATTACATAGCCATTCACACCAATTTCGCATACATAATAAAATACATAAAAGTGAAAGAAAATATTACAAAAGTAGAAGAAATAACCTGGCAAAGGAACTACGGAAACAAATTTCAAAGTAAAAAGAAACAACAAACAAATTAAAATGAATAAGAGAGAAGAAATTGCTCTTCTAATTCCCTCTGCAGAATTATAAAGCATAAATAAATCTCCCACTTCAAATTCTTCTGGATTATTTAACTCTTCCTCTTTTTAATATCATATCATTTTTCTACTTGCTGTGACACACAGTTTAGCACATAAAAGTAGTGCTTCTTGTACTGTGCCATCCAGAAAGCCCAAACATTTTGATTATAAGGAAAAACACCATACCTCCGCTAGCTTGTGCAGAAGTGCTCATGTCAAGAAACACCTTGGCACCCCTTATGCAAAACATGTTCTTTACTCCCATGGTGCACAGAGAATACACTCCTTAAGGTTAAAAATTGCAACAATAAATGTAACATATGTACCACATTACTTTCCCAACAGGATTGTTCATGGGCATACTTCCTGTTACATTTATCATTATACAATTTATCACTATGGGAGTTTAGTTTCAATAGGACTAGCAACATAAAAGAATACTGAGTCCAGAACTCCCTTCTTATTTATTATTTATAGTACCTGAATATTTCTAATCCAATTGGATTTTCAAATTTCTCTATTTTCCTCAATAACCACAGTATGCCCAATTCTGAGACAATGTTACATAGTGCCTTATTCAGCAAATAGTCATGTTGATATTAAAAGGACTATTTGCAGAGTAAGTTACTATCCAGTGTGAGTAGAGTGAATATTTTTTGAAGGAGATATATCTAAGTTCTAGTTCTTTCCTTGCTTCCTCATAGCTCAGTAGGGGCAAGGGAGTGTAATTTGCTGCTGAACTACACCCGCAACGAATTACAACACACACACCCCTCCCACTTGCTCAGCTGCCCTGACCAGTGAGTGAGGGGTGGATCCAAAGTTCTGCCTATTCCATGCCAATGCAGCATCAGAATGCAAGGTCTGGGTAGACTATGCAGAAGTGTAAGCAATGTTCTTACTCCCTTGCATAGGTATGAATCCAAGTCCCAATCTAGCCTGAAATCTTTTGCGTGTTTCACCACCACTCAAGAAAGAAAGTTTCCCTCAATACAAATTCTTGAAGATGATTAATGTTACTCGGGGAAATTTATGAACAGTTATCCTTTGTAAGGAATATATATGTCTTTCTATATTAGAAAGAGAGATAACTAACAGTGGTATGTAGAACTGGCAGTTGAGGTGTTCTGAGATTGAGAACACATCCAGGAATCAGGCAACCAGGACAAAATACATAGTATTATCATTAGATAGGCATAATGGTTCATAGTACTTATATTTCAATAGAAATTAAACAAAAATAACAATTCTTAAAGTAATGCAGGAGATCATTTTAAAGTCCAGCCATGAAACCACATCAGAGTTTAAAAAAAGACACCTCCAGCAGGACAAGCAAGACTATTTTTGTGCTGTTATTTCAGTCACTGGAAATGTTTCTCACTTGTATTAGCTAAATTCCATAAGGATATATATATCCTGTAATTTACGTACAAATGAGGATATAGAACACTGCAACAGTATTTTGTTCTGAATAACCACAATTCGGAAGTGTGCCAGTGCTGCTATATGAAGATAGGCTCCTTTATGGCAGCATTTTAAAGGCTGCATTTGGAACTGGTTCAGCTTTAATTTTCCATGTACCGTAAAAGCCTTTTCAAGCATAAAAAAGGGGTGGACAGGCCACCGTATAAACAATGGACCCAATAAACTGACAGCACAAATGTTTAACAAGATTGAAGGAGACTATCATAGCACACAACCATGAAATGAAGGGCTTTAATTTTGTGGAAATGCCATTATAACAGGAGAAGCAGCATTGTATGCTAAAGAAGCTTGCAATGTTTATCTCATATTTAAATAATTAGTTTCAGGTATATGCTCATTGAGGATTTGCCTAAGCAAAGTTTGCAAATAAACTGAAATTAGCAACAACGTAAAGCTCTGAACTTGCAGTGGTAGCAATTGAGGGACTGAGAGGGTATTATTTTAGCATTTTAGCTAGTTCTTGTCTATATTACAGCTGAGTGGTGATTTTTGGATTGCTTCCTTTATCAACAAGCACTTTTTCTCGGTATAGGGAAAGCACTGACATTTTCACCAGTCTTGGGTAAAGCTACGATAAAAAATTATCTCCTTGCTTCTATATGGCGGTCAACAATAAAAAGCTGGTTTGGTCAGCGAATGGTTTTAGTATTAGTGAAAACAAAGGCCTAGCTTTTCAAAAAGGGACACCTAAAGTTAAGCTCCTAAATCCTTATTTAGACACCTACATACGTTGCCTCATTTTTAAAAGTGCTGAGTGCCCAGCAGCTCCCACTGAAGTCAAGTGAGCAACTTCTGTCTTTTCTGTTATTTTAGAGGAAAAAAATTCTGACCAATTGGAGGCTCAGGAATTGGCCTGTTTGAACAGACACCTTAATAGGACATCTAAATGCAACCTTTGGATGCTCATATTGATAATGAGGCACATTAAGGACTAGATCCGCTGCCTCCTGAAATCAAAGGGAAGACTCCTATTGACAGGCTTTAGATCAAACCTTAAAAGAAAGTGCCAGTCTGACAGTTCAGACTGGAAACATGGAGCTCCATTTGAAAACTAGTTTCTGCGAGCCTAGTTCTGGTGATGTTTAGTCTCTCCTTTCCACTGCTGCAGCTCAAGTACTTTTACCACTGGCTTTGTCTCTCTATGTTCAAAATCAATTTAATCAGTGACTTTGCTATTCTCATGTCCCAGATGTGGATTGCTGCTGAGGCTGACTCACTAACAACACTGGAGCTGACCATCAGTGTACACCTAAATACTAAGAAGCTATAAATAACAATGACCCCAGAGATTTATACCCAGCTCCAGCTCCCTGCCTATTCTAACCTCCAAAAACAATTGTTTGACTGAACAAACAATACCAAAAACCCTGAGATTTCCCCACGGTGTTAGTGAAAGGGCTCCAGCTGGCTTCACAAGGCAAGAGAGGATGGAATTCTGTCTATAACTTAACCCTAATGAAACTCTATACAGCAAGCAGAAACCTCTTGTTATTTGCTTAGGGATCCTCACTGGATCTGATGTGTCAAACTACAGAAAAGAGCATTGCTACAGCCCATTAATATAATTCTGTTCAAAGTGATCAACCCACTGTGTGCAAAATGTTATTCTAGCCTTTTAAATAATGAAGAAAATTCTTACCAAGGCACAACAAAGCAGTTGGACACCTTAGTACAAATAACTGTGGTGCAAATGTACTGAAGCTTAAGTTGGCAGCATGGCATCTATTTGCTTTTTTAATTCATAAGCATTTTCTTTTAAAGACCAAGGACCAGTACCCCAGGCATCCCAGAACAGTGCTCAGCATGCCTGAGGAGAGGAAAGGACATAACCTTCAGAACTTACAAAGAGCCTAATTTCTCTCTCACTTACATTGGTGTACATCAAGGGTAACTCCAATGAAGTCAACAGAGTTACACTATGTAAATACAATGGGTGCGATAACAGGATCAGGCCCCACTTAACAGGCTGTTATATCAAATATATTGGAAATTTCCAAGAGAGCTCACTACTCAGACTTAACTTGGACTTAATTTGGAGTGAGCTCACAAACCATGTCTGGAATTCTATGTCCATTCCTCCTTTGTAACTGAGCTGCCATTGTCTGACACGGGGCTACCTTTCCTCAGAGTGCATGCAGATTACATTACTTTGTTCCCCATGTGATCTCAATGTGTTTTCTAGACTGCAAGCTGAAAAATAAGCTGTTGTTTTGGCAAATACAAGTGCCTGAGAATTTTGTCTTCCTTTCTTCAGTTTTTCAGGTGTTTTTATGTGGCATGATGAAAAGTTTCAGAGTAGCAGCCGTGTTAGTCTGTATCCGCAAAAAGAAGAACAGGAGGACTTGTGGCACCGAAGAAGTGGGCTGTAGTCCACGAAAGCTTATGC